CAGTCAGGTCATATCTAACTATCTATGATGAAGCTTTAATAAAAGCGAAATATGTTAGATTTATAAACATTCTGTTGGATTCCGATCCATATTTGATCTGCATTTGATCGCAATCATATATATATATATATATATATATATATATATATATATATATATAAGCAAATATATGGATATAGATCCGACAGTATGAAGAAAAATATACAGCATAATTGCATATTAAGATTTTTGTTTGTTTTTTCTGTATTTTTCTTCATATATATATATATGCACATTTCATTGAAAACGACAGACAAGGTGCTTTTATTTAGTTTTTATACAATTTATCATACGATCAAATATTTTTTTCTTTTCGGATGACAAATTATATAAAAACTGTCCGAATGTTCTTTTTATCCGTGCGCTTTCGGCTAAACATTTAGCCATCTTCAAGGATTATATTTTAACTGTTAAAATTAGAAATAGTTTGTTGTATGTATGTTTTATAAAATGTTTTCCTTTTTCAAAACAGGATCAAGATATTCAAAGTTAATATTATTAAGTGTTGTTTTTTTTGTTTTTATTAATAAGGCTTCCATTATTTTTAGCTTTTTTTGCTTATATATGATGCTATTATATTAGTGTTGTCAACAAGTATATTATGAATATTGTCTGGTTGGTCTCCATGAATATTTAAATGAGATTTAATTGAGCTATGGTTAGAAAAGTGTAGAGTGAGTCTGCGTGTCAAACATGTTGTAGTGTGGCCTATATAATTATTTACGAATTTTGATTCATCAGGAATGCAATTCCTTAATGGGCATTTAAATTCGTAAATAATATTTGCCCTATTTAATTTTGTTCTAGGAGGTGAATTATTATTTTTAACTATAAGGTTAGAGGTTTTAAATTTTGTGTAATAAATAATTAATCTTTTTTTTTTGCTATTGTCAACTGGTGTTATGCATTTTTTATAATGTTCTTAATTCTGCATTCTTCCTGTTTATAATTTTCGTTCATCTGATTTTTATAAAAAAATATTAATGTTATTGTTTATGTTTCTGTTCTCGCCGTTGCTATTAGCTACCTTAGATAGAAAACGCCTAATGTGGAAATCCAACAATTGATTAAGAAATCTGTTATTAATCAGCGTTTGCTTTATATTCTTTAATCCTTTAAAGAAAAGCGTGCTAGAGGACGAGTTCTCGTGCGCTCTCGTGCAGAAATTTTTAATAACACCTATTTTATATCTAAGAGGGCATTCACTAGAGAAATTAAGATGGCAACAGTTGATTTTAAATGATCTCTGAGGTTGAAATTTTCGAACTTTCTTATTTTCTGGCATTAATTTGTCAAAAAATGGTTCTGATTTTCTTCGCAAATATGAGCTCTGCCGGTGACATTTTCACGGTGACGTTTGCCTTTGACGTCATTCGATACACGATCAAAAATTCTTCTAGTGTCGTTTCTTCAACTTTCAAGCTTTTCTTAATGCTCTTTTGAAGGTGTCAACAGACTTGCCCACGGATTATCAGTGCTCAGTCATACCTGATAATTAATAGGTGATGATTTTGCTGCTGAATTACAACCATTAGATTTTCTAACTGTATTTTGGATATCTTTGTCCAACTTTGACCAATACACGTAGCTTCTAATCAAGGACTTCATCCTCACTATTCCCGGATGTCATACGTGGAATTGTTTTAAAATCCTTTTTTTTTTTTAGATAACGGAATTACAACTCAAATTGTCAACGTACAAACATACTCTATCACAAATTGAAGATGCCGTATTATTGTTAGCAAGTTTAATTTTAGTTTCACTCCATTTCGACTTAACGGCATTCATAGTTTTTTAAATAAACGTATCCTTTCTAGATTGAATTTTGATATCGTCTGTTCTCACTAGCAATTCTTTTATAGTGTTACACACTAGGCTTTTAATTTCGCTTTCGGATTTCAGCGAAGCAATCACAGTATCTTCAAAATCTTTAGATTTCGATATAAATCTGGATAAGCCATCTGCGTGTCCCAATTTATTTGACGATAGAAATTTCATCTTGAAACCATAGTTCAACAAAATCGTAGACCAACGCTGCAGACTGTTTGCAGTATTTGTGGGGATCCCTTTCTTAGTACCGAATGTACTTAATGATGGACTATGATCAGTTAGGCTCGAATTCAAAAAGAAAAGGTCTGTTATTCAAAAAGAAAAGATTTGTAATTCACCATTTCTTTGTTGAATCTATCAATTTGATGATTTTTCTTCCAAATATCATCCTGTGAAATTTCTTTATAGCAAAAATTATAGTAAGCGTTTACTTGTAAATTTGACTGTAGTATTTTCCAGTATTTGTCAAACTTCAAACGTGAGCGACTGCTTTTACTGTACCGTCTTCGAATTTATCGCCTATTACCGCTCCTATGCCGTAATCGCTCGCGTCCGACGATACTATTATCTGTCTGTGCGGGTCGTAATGTGTCAACGATAATTTTTTAATTCCTTCGAAAGTTTTTGATATTCCACCGACCAATTCTATTTCGTACTCTTCTTAAGTAAATTATTCAAAAGTGCCACAATTTGTACATATTTGGCACATAAATATTATAATAATTCACTAATCCGAGAAACGATTGAAGGGTTACCAAATTTGTCGGAGGAGTCATATCTTTAATGTCACTTGATGGAGCAGGATCTGGTCTTTTCCTTTTTCGTCCATTATCTGACGTAAATATTTAATCTTGTCCAAAAAGAATTGACATTTTTATTAACTGATTTGGAAACCATAATCATCTCTGAAATATTTCCTGAATCAATTTTGTTTGCTATATTTTCGTAGCACTCTTAATAAGTTTATCATCCATGTAAGCAACGATACCGTCTAGTCTAGCAAACATTGTATCCATTATTTTCTGGCAAATACCTGGGGCTATATTTACATCAAGAGGACATAACATACTTAATAATGAACAATGATCAGTTTGAGGTATGAATTTTCTTCCAAATATCATCCTGTGAAATTTCTTTATAGAATTTTTAAACTTGTAGAGTCTATTATGCGTATTAATAGTAAAAAAATCCTGGCATTCCTTGTCCACTTCGATTTAAAGATATTCTTCAGACAGGTCCATTTTTAAAAAAGACATTACCACCGTTTAATTTTGCAAATATTAGTCGGGGATTAGCATGCAGTATGAGGCAGCTATTAAATCCAGATGAAAAATCTGCACATAACCGAATCTTCTTATTTTTTCCTAATATAAACCACTTACGTGTCCCATTCTGAGTAATCTATATTTTCAATAACTTCGCGGTTTTCTAACCTATCCACTTCGGGGTTAATAGGCTCCAACGCAGCAAAAGGTATCTTTCTTTTAATCTTAAACACTACTATCAAATTTTCTTTCAATTCAAAAATGCCTTTGATTTTATCCATTTTCCTAACACTGCGAAAATATTCATGAATTTATTTTTTAGTTTACTCAGCGTTTCTTTAGCTGTAATCTTTTTGTCTGATGAACAATTAATTTTTTCACAGAATGAATTAATCGGCCAATTCCATAATTCAAATAATTCTAGCCAATCGACGCCTAGTAAATTCGAGTTGGAATTTTTAATACGCACACATCTACTTTTTTAGCTTTATCCGCAATGTGATTTTCCCAAGAAAAATTAATTTCTTGTCAGATATTTCTCTTCCAACTTTGTCATTTTTTAAAAGTTAGGCTTGCCAATTCTGTTCCAAGTTTGTTCATCAATAATTGTAATATCGCTACCAGTGTCCAATTGAAATCTCACCGTAGCGTTATTCATTTGTACTCTCACGTATTTTCTATTATTTGAACTTTCCATTTTTTTTTTTCTAGCTGGAAGAACTACATACAGAAAGTTAATTTGTGTATTTCTTTTCTTTTGATTTTTAGACTTGCAGTAGCTTCGTTTGTAACTTGTTTTTTCCACACTTAAAACATTTTTGGGGCATTAAATAGACAGTTCTTTCTGAGATGAAGCATGGTTTAAGTCTTGCACTATTTTTATTCTGGATGTTTTTTGTTTTTCTTTAGTACTACTGGCGTTTTTCTAGACATTTGTACTTCCGTCGTGCCATTTTGCTCGATTTTCGCAGTATCGTGCTTTAAATTGACAATTTTTGTCACTCTTCCTTATTGTCAACTTTGAATCCTATTCAAGTTTTGTAAATATTCGAGAGTGTATTTCCGCATCGTTGCTCGATGTCAAGCTTTTAACGTAAATTAGATATTTAAATCTGTCTGGGGATAATTCCTCCAGTTTAAATGTCTCACTCACAGTTAAATTTACCGGCATATGAGATAAAACCTTCATTTTCGTCCTTAGTAAGGTTCATGCAGTGTCAACGTGTATAAAACTGAATTCTTTTTACCAAAAGTTTTCGATAATATCAACATTGTTTCGTTAAATGACACGTTTTCCGGAGTATTCGGTAAAATGAAATTCAGATCTTTTTCATGTCCAACGGGGCACAATTTTCTTAACAGAAGACGTACCTTCTTTTCATCTGGCCATCAATGACATTCTTCATACCTTCGGAAGTACGATAGGAATGTAAGGTTTTCTTCTGGACTGTTCTATGCTTTTCCAGGATTGCTTTTATCTGTTCTCGGTATTCAATCCGCTGCCGTTACATTGTTGCATAAATATTTTCAATTCTTCCATAGTGTATTTAATGCGTACTAGTAATCTTTAACTAAGAAGAAAAAGTGTTTTGTTTTTCCTAATAGCGTATATCATACAGCCTTGAAGTTTATCGACTTCCGTGTGTCGCGCTATGAATATGCACGAACTATACCAAAATTTATTTTCGATGAATTTTGAATAGAAAGTTTCTCGACATGATGTGTATTCACTAGACTTGTTACTTTCATACCTGTTTGGTTCCATGCCATTATTCTTGAATTGACTCAGGTTCAAATAACAGGTGAGCAAATTAAAAAAATTCCTGAAAGAATTCACCAAATTAAAACCGGATATATTCTCATTAGCTGTCTATCTCACTCTTTCATATCTATCTATCTATCTATCTATCTATCTATCTATCTATCTATCTAAAGACTGTTCATATCTATCTATCTATCTCTTTCAGTTCATATCTATCTATTGATGTTAAACTGTTCATATCTATGTGTTCATAGCAATCACTCTTTCTTTCTTTCTTTCTTTCTTTCTTTCTTTCTTTCTGTTATATACCGTACCTATGAACATTAATGGGTATGTCTCAATCCTCATAAATACGTTGAACACTATTGTAAGTGGGGGTAATATACTATCTAATACAGATCGTTTTTTTGCCACGTAGTATTTGCGATACTATTACCCGGATTAATTTGTGATGTACATTTCGTTCTGTTAAGTCTGTTTTTATTTTACTTTTTCTTACATTTTCAATTTTGTACTTTTGAAAAGTTTTTGGATTTTTTCTTTTTCAATTTCTTACCCCCCCCCATTTTTTTCTTTTCCTTTTTTCTCCTCTCATTCTTTTATTATTAGCTTTTTGATTTGATTTTATTTTTTTAATTAAATTTTTTATATTTTCCGTTTCCTTTTTAATTTTTTGTAATCCCTTGCTAAAGTTTATCGTTTTTTATTTACGTTAGACTTTATTCTTTCATTGTTTACGTTATTACGTGTTATATCGTTCTTTCTTTTTCTTTCTTTTTCGTTCTTTGTTTCCCCTTTTTAAATATCCGTTAAGTTTTCTTTGTTGTACTTGTGAAATATTTTCTGTACATATTTATTTTAATTTTCTTGTATTTGTAATTTTTGTCTAATCTGTCCGTTTTTTCTGTTTTTGTTTTGCTTCGTTAACGGCTTGGTATTTTCAGCGGCCATATTTGTTTTTGTGATTTGTTTGTTTTGTATTCTTCTCGGAATTTCTTTGTTTTTCTAGTCTTATTACTGTAATATTTTATTGCTGTCCGAATTTCTTTGTGTATTTTTTATTCCTTGCGTACGTTTAACTCCCTTTTTGTATAATCCTTTTTAAAAGGAAATTTGTAATTGTTTTGTATATTATTTTTTGTCCGCCTTTTTTTTTTTTAAAGTTTCAACGTTTTATTCTTGTCTGTATTTTGCGTAAGGTTTTGTTTTTTGCACGTCTAACTGTCTTATAATATTTGTGATTTATTTATCCTTTTATTTCTTTAAGATTTTATTTTTGTAAAAGAAAAAAAAAAGATTTAAGTGTTTTAAAAAAAATAGCCCCAAAGAAGAACGTGAAAAAAAAACTTATTTGGGACAAAGAAAAAAAAGAATGAGCCACCCGATAAATCGGATGAAAATAAAAATACTGAAATAGTTAATGAATCGTCAACAAGTATGGTGGCCGACAATGGCCAAAAAATTCAAGAAAAGAATTTGGCGGAAAAGAGCGAAAATTCTCAATTTCCAGCTGAAAGCATGGAGGCCGAATCAGGCCAAAATATCCAAACAAAGGGAAAATTATGGAAGCAGAAACAAGCCAAGACATTGAAGAAAAGAACCGAGAACAGACAATACCAACAAAGATGTCGATGTAGCGGTTCTAAATTCAGTATCAACATTACGGAGTTCCTTGAGAAAGCTAAAAGTCACGCCCATTTTGTTACAAAAGATGGGCTCTTGACAAATCTTGGGGAGCTACAGAAGGTTGAAAAAATAATTGTGTCGGTCTTTGTGGTGGACAAAATTTGTCGCTCCACTAAAGACACCGTCATAAAGTCATTGACGTCCCTGGGGATTAAACCATAGATAGTCATTAAAGGCATATTCTTCATTTGGGACCTACTGTTACCCACGTCTGCCAACTGTGAAGCAGTGAGCACTCGGGACCTAATTTACAAAAGATCTGATACTGAGGACCGAATATCAAGCAGGCGTTGGACCAAGGTTTCAGTTTTATGAGGTCCCTCCTCAGATTGTCGATGAGTACTTGCCCGCCTATCTGCGCAAATTTGGCCAGATATTCAGTGCTTCCTCCGACGATCTGACCGTGGGATGGTGTTTTGAATTGATGGTGGATCGAAAAGCCTTCGTCTCCATCCCCACTGCCTGGATGTTGAGGACCAGAAGATGCCTGGATGGTGAGGGCCAGAAGATGCAAGACCGGCTTGCTGGAAGTGTGGACAGACTGGTCACCTGTCCTTTTCCTGCCCATAGATGAAGGCCTCTGGAGTTCTGGCCCCCACCGACCCCAATACCCCCTCGGTCTGAGTCTGTTGTTTCCGTCTCGCCTGTAATGTGTATGCCAACAGCCGGGACCAGTGTGGTAACACCCCCGGTTGGGTCCGTCTCACGGCCCCCATTCCCCGAAAAGCCTTCGCCCGCCGCTAGTGCGGTTGTGGGGGCGGAAAATGGGGAATGGCAGGTTGTTGGAAGCTCCGGGCAGCGGGTCCTCGTCCCAATGAAGCTCCAACGGGAAAAGTCACAAAGAGTCCCACTTCCTCAAGCAGTTCTAAGGCTGTCTTCCCGACCAGCTATTCAGAAAAATTACGTCAGCAAAAACAAAGATATGAACCTTCATTTGAGAAAGCCGAAAAACCAAAGAGTCGCTTAAAATAAACAAAGGAAAAAAATCTGGCACAAACTCCTCGGCACCGTCTTCCCCGTCAGCCAAACATCACATAATGACCCTTCCTCCAGTCCTAAGATCCTCATCTCCATCTCCCACAAAAATGACAACATTGAAAAAGGCCCCTATCTCAGTTTCACCTGGAAAAGACCAAATTTCCACTATCACCATTAGCCCTAAACCATCCCCTGTCAAACATCCTGCAGCAACACCAAAAAAGGCTGAGAATCCTAAAAGGCAAAGAAGCCCTTCACCTGAAAATATAGACCCTTCATCTCATAAAAAACCGAAACCCATATTTAACACAGGGGAAGACGTGTGCCGAGTCTCGAAACAACTAGAGGACAAGGCCTTGCAATACTCCAAGTAAATGAGAAATATCAATTTCAGGAAAATCAACAATTTAGACATTGAAGACCCCAGAAACTTCCCCAACGCTAAAAGGGTATTGTCATCAGTGGTCAATAAATTTGGGTCATGTTTGCGGAGGCAAATGAAGTCTTTGGCATGTTTACGCTCATGGCCTGCTTTGATAACGACACTGTAAAAAATTGCAACAATTTTGTTCAGGGAGGTTCCCTCTTTTTGTTCACCCCTCTCTGTATAGAGCGTTAAAACGTTTTAGCCGACTTCCCCTGTCTTGAGGCAGCTGAAGCGGCTGGATGCGAGGGTCCCATCACAGAGTCGGAAATCTCGGAAGCGTTGAAACAGGTTGGCCAGGATAAATCTCCAGGATTAGATGGTCTTCCTTACGAAGTTTACTTGAAGCAATGTTCCTTTGATGCAATTGATTTTCAACAACTGGATGAAGCAGGGGTCTATACCTCAGTGCTTCACCAGGGGTGTGATCAAGTTGCTACGCAAGGACAAGAACGATGTGGATGGGATAGGTAATTTTCGCCCTTTAACTATGTTAAATACAGAGTTAAAAATTTTGGCAAATATCTTAGCCAACCGTTTGCAGGCTGTCCTGTCTAGTCTGATTGGCCCCGAACAAACTTGTGCTGTCAAGGGTAGGACTATTCCGGACAACCTTCATATGGTACGCCTGATCATCGAGAAAGTCGTCAGTGAAGCCGTGCTGATCAATTTAGATCAGTCCAAGGCCTTTGTTAGAGTTGACCATCGGTTTCTGGAGGCTGTTCTTTCGGCGGCCAGTTTCGGGCCGTACTTTCGTACTTGGATCCGACTTCTGTATGCGACTCCCGGTGCGCTGGTGGAGGTGAATGGGGTATGATCGGAGCCTTTCGTATTGTCTCACTCTATTCGTCAAGGTTGTCCGCTTTCGCCTTTGCTTTACGTTCTTTCGTTGGAACCTTTCCTTCGTAAGTTAAAGGCGAATCCGGTCCTGCGCCGAATTTCCTTGCCTGGGGCTACCACCTCGGCCAGGTATTCTGCCTATGCTGATGGCGTTTTGGTTCTTGTGCCGAGAGCGGAGGTTGACGAAGTCAGAAAAGAGATCAGAGGTTAGGAGATGGTGATAAGGGCCAAGATCAACCGCGATAAGTCTGTTGGCTTGCGGTTAGGTGCGTGGAAGGGAGATTCTCTTCTCGGACCTTTTCTCTGGATGGATGGGCCGGTCAAGATACTCGGCGTCTCGTTCGATCCTGATATCCAGTTGGAATTAATTGGTCGGAGGTACGAGGGAAGGCCGAAATCGCAATTAATTTGTGGTCTCTGAGGAATCTTTCCTTGAAGGGGAGGGCGGAAGCATGTGTTTCACACATCTACCCGATTCTCCTTTACCGACTCTCTGTACTACCACTTCCGTATACCACACTAAAGTCATTAGTAAGGCTCTTGTTCCTTTTCTTGTGGAGAGAAAAATCCGCTATGGTATCTCGGGAGATCTGTTGCCTTCATCCATCTGAAGGCGGTTTGGGTATGCCTAACAATGAGATTCGTCAATATATGCTTCGCATCGACTTCCTAGATCGAATGTGTCGCGAATCGGATGAGGAGGGCGCCTTCTAGTAGGAAGACGCCCGTAAAACTTTCCCATCTCTGAGAAGTGTGCACCTTGAAGCCAGTTGTTTGTAGCAATGTGGTGACGCAGATGACGAAGGCTGAACATTATGTGTTCTTTTGCTTACTAGGGGTTATGAGAGTCGTGATTTGGACGACGCGTAAGAAGGAATTCTATGAGGGCCAGAAGTTCACTTCTTCCCAACTGATCTTGTTCTTTAAGCATCAGCTTAAAGTCAAGATTAGGACGGAAAGGCGGCTGCTCACCTCATCAGAATTTGGCAAAAGGTGGGTGAATCTTGCACGGTTGTGTCGAGTAAAAGGGGCTGACCTAGAGTGGCATTTTGATGCCGGTTAGGCATCCGGATTTTGTTCTTCCTGGGTTGAACTTGGGCAACACATCCCGAAATTAGGTTAGTGTAGGTTTTGTTTTTTGAATCTTTAGTGTTTTCATTTTTTCCAATTAACTTAGCTAGGGTGTGTCTGCTCATTGGCCCCTTTTATTTCTGTCCCTATTTTTTCTTTAGTTTAATTCCCCATCCCTTCCCTCGTTAGGTGGTCAGTGATGTCAGTTCTCTGGTGGATGCGGGGCGATTTTCGTTTTATCGTCTGTGTGTGTTTTTCGTTTTCTGTTGTCGTGTTTGGATGAGTGCGTGTGTGCGTGAGTACTAGGCATGGATGAATGTTTTTTTTTAATATTTTATAGGCCCGCATTGATTTCGTCCAGTGAACTGATGTTTCTGCCATATATAATATTGTGGGTTTTTTTTATTACTGACAATGATTTTGTTTAGTCTCTTGTAAATAGATTAATTCATATTGTATATACTCATTGGGGATCTTTTTAATTTATTGTTTTATTCCCCTCCCCACATACGATGATTTCTACATATGGGAACTATTTAGGATTTTCATTGAGACAATAAGGTATTATGGTGGATGTAGTAAGAATATGTTGTTTTGGTGTTAGGGATATTGCTTGTATGCTTGGGTCAGTGCTTGTGGCTAGCTAAGTTTAAAAGGGGTGGAGGGGGGGAAGGACGGTCTTCATCTGTCTTAAGACCATCCTTTTCCCGATCCCCCTTTTTAGGCCTTGTGCCACATTTTCTGTAATTTTACAGAAATAAATATTGTAATATGCTGTCTAAGTAGTCCCCCACTAGCAGTGGTTTACCTACTTCACGCCGCTGGCGAGTATTGTATTTTGTTGATGTTATAAAGATTACCATTTCATTTCCAACCACCGTTTTGGTTGTTCCTCATTCAGTAACTCTTTCTATCTTACAACACTATCTATCTATCTATCTATCTATCTATCTATCTATCTATCTATCTATCTGTTGATTTATCTCTATCTAGCTAGCTACCTATTAAGCTTAGGTTAGTATGACACAAGGCTACATTTTGGTGCACCCAGTGACGCTTAAACGACAAGCAAATTCGTATTTACCTATATCAGAAGGAAAGGCCAGAGCTTGAAATTCAAATAAACTTTCCACTTTTCGTTTCTTTCGACTTCTCCGAAATTGTAAATTGAATCGTTAATTTGTCGAGGAAAGGCCGTCAACACAAAGGTTCACTCCAGTGTAATTAGTTTACCAGCAGCCGTTCGTTTCATTCGATTAAAGTTTTTCCCTTTGATCTGCCATCGATTAATGCACAAACACAGAAGAGAAAAGTTATCTATCGACAATTAATGTGTTATCTACGATGGCGACGCCGATTAATTTATTAAGTTTTGTCAATTTGTTTTCAGGAAATGACATGATTATATCCGACTTCTTACTGAAATATCGTGGGCCTTGTGCCAGACTAAGGTGAACTTAGTAAAATATCCTAAAATTGTTATCTGTTTATAAAGTGATGGTTAACAAGCCAGTCTCGCAGACTATTGATTTGTATTGATTACTCCATGTTGTGTCTCAGAGTCGGATGAAGGTATGTGTTGTAGACTTGTGATTAACCGGCGAATCTCGAAGACCATAGTTAGGTTGGTTCAAGTAAACACAAAGCTGAATATAGATACAAAATCTCTCTCTTTCTTTCATTTTTTCAATCTCCATATTTCTTTCAATATATATATATATATATATATATATATATATATATATATATATATATTTTTCTCCGACAGGAATCGAACCTGTAATCCATAATGAGAACAGTCATTTGATTCCATGTGCTGTTAATTATTCAATCACAAAGAAGTATCTGGTTATCAAAGTCCGCAGTTCTGTTTATAAACATAAAACTTCGATGATTTCGATCGATCATATCTGCTTACGTACACACGCACACACACACACACACACACATATATATATATACATACAAATATAGATAACTATACTCGTTTCGAAAAACCCTCGAATTATTGATTTGCCAATAATCAAATCAATCTCAAGGGAAAAAAAATGTTTTAAAAAAAGAAAGAGCTACAAACATGAAAGTCTGTCGAAAAAAATCGCACAGATGCAGGTTTGAAGCCCAAAGAAAAAACCCCGATACGAGTAAACAACTAACTAACAAAAGAGCTCAATACAATCGTAGAGCAGACCTAGATAAACCTAGTTAGCCAGACAAACCTACCCAGGTTTCACTTAAACGGATCGTCAGGGAAATTTCCATGACGATCAGTTTAGGTGAAACCTAGGTAGGTTTGTCTGGCTCACTATGTGTATCTATCTATCTATCTATCTATCTATCTATCTATATCTATATATATATATATATATATATATATGGCCACCTCGGGGTGGTGTAATGGTTAGCTAGAACAATTACGACTGAGTAGTGAGTTCAATCCTCACTGAGTGCCCCTTACTTTCGGCCTTGTGCCACATCCAACTTACACTTGGAAAATCACTATATATATATATATATATATATATATTAAACCTAGAGAGCCAGACAAACCCACCAAGGCCCCACCTAACCGGATCGTCAAGGAAGGCTGGCTCCCTATACTGGATGATTATTTTCGGTTAACGTACATGTTCTTGGTTCTTTCTTTTTTTTTTATACCTTTTTTTCCCTTTGGTATTGGCTTGTTTATTTGCAAATCAATATGCCGAAGGTTTTCCGAGCGAGTATAGTTTTCTATTAAGAATTATAATATATATATATATAATATATATATATATATATATATATATATATATATATATATAGGATGCAATGAATAAATTGTTGTCTAAATTACACAAAATTAAAATAACACTAATATCTCATTTTAAAAATATATTTTCTAAAATTACACAAATATATTCTGAAATACTAAAGAGGAGAAAATTTATTCATTAAAATCGCCATTGGTTTCGTCCATGGCCAACAGACGACTTTGGAATCTCCTGCAATTCTTCTGGACGGCCTCCTTGTTTAAGTTGGTGAATGCTGCCATAATCCTTGCCTTCAGTTCATCTTTGATGTTATAAAGAGTTTTGTTGGTCTCTCGCTCAAAAACGACCCACACACATAATAATCAAGGTGGTGGCAGTCTGGAGAGTTAGGTGGCCAGATGTAAATGGTGATGTGGTCGCAGAAAATTGTCTAACAGCTATTAATGGGTTCTCCTGCTTGTGAGTCATGGTGTAGAGTCCTGTTGCGAGACATAGGTTCTTCCAGCAGCCATCCTCTTGACTGATGGCAGTACTTCCTCCTCAAGGTACTTGATGTAGGTGTCGAGTCTGAGAACCTCACCAACAAATTCAGGATTTCTTTTCTGATCAAAGTTTTCCGAGTTGCTGTACCTTCGTAATCACGATTAGACTCAACCAACTCTTTTCAAATCCTCTGCACTGTCCTTATATTGACACCCAAACACTCTGAAATGTTCGTATTACAGCTTCTGGCGCAAATGCCAAACATTACAGCATACTGTTTCTGATTTTCTGGTAGGGTGAATTGCGTCATGGTGCTTTTTTTTTCTTACAGACGGTGCCCAACTGTCCCTACTATACTGTACACGCGACAAATTTAAAAACAAACAACGCGCATGCGCAAAATTAAAAATATAAAATGGTGACAATTTACTCATCGTACCCTGTAAGGAAAAGTCTTTGATCTTGATGTTTTAAAGAGGGCACTAAATAATGAATTATGAATAGGCATGTGGCGAAAATAAGCAAGCAAACTGCGTAATGTGGAAGATAAAAGAACTAAAAGCGAACGCAATAAAACGAGTAGCAAAGTCAGGAGATAAATTGTGGCTTTGGTTGGCCGAAGAAGACAGGCTAATGAGGCGTAGAATTACGTTTATATAGTCCATTGGTATTAAGATGTCTATTCTTTTCTTTTTTTAATTTATTGTCTGCGCCTATTGGTTATTCTTTCATTGCTTTACTCTTCTCTCTAGCTTCATATGTCCTTCGTTTTGATTTATTTCCGGTTTTCCATTTTTCTTCGCCCTCGTTTTACATTTTTGCTATATTTTTCGAGCTTTTCCTTACGTTTTACTTCTAAATATTTCGGTTTAATCTTTACTTTTTTAAAAATTTCACCTGAAGTAAGACGATAAATCCTGTTGAAGGAGTCACACCTTTTGTTGCGAGATGTGGATGTTTTTCAGTTAATGACTCCTGGAACAATTGTACCGCAAACAATATTTGGTGGACTGATATGAATCTGGGTTGAAAATAAACACAAAAGTGGAATTTAAACAAACAAGGACTGATAAATAAATGATGTTCCCTCAAAAAATTGACATGATTTAAAATGAGAATAACTGAGTAATTACATGTCCCAGGTAAACGAAATTAAAAAGGCTTCATGTTGAACAATAAAATATTATGTGTTATCACATATTTTTCTTCTATATAATAAATGCAAATGTCAGTGTGTCACACTTTTTCAACTTTACTCCTAGAGGCCGTAGCCCAATATATCATACCATTTTGGAATCAGGCCGACTCGATTAAAAAAATTCCGGGTCGGATTTGTACCCACAATTTTGGATTCCCAAGTTTTCATTACTGTGATTGTTTTCGGCGATTTTTTTTACATGATTTTTTGTACGATAACAATTTTTATAAGTTGGAAATAAGTTTGGGAATATTCGAAATTAATTGCGAAATCCAGCGAAAGTCACCCAGAAAAAAAAATTGTTTGTACAGAAAGTAAGGACCTACGTACTTCAAATTGTGCGACAGAAGAATTGTCGTTGAACTTTTAAAAGGTAAGCTTAAATATTAATGCAATGCTTAACTGCAGTGATCAGTTTTGAGTTCTTCTGTAGTTTATTGTTGCCTATCGTATCTACTCCTCCCTACCTATTGTGATGAAGGCACAATTAAGAGTCCTCCACTGGAGCTGGCTTAAATGCAACATTTTAGCGGCTTTTTATCTTAGTATTACTATAAATTTTATATTTTATGCATAGCTGAAATCCTTATGGCACACACACACACATACATATATATACAGGGTGCCCTAAAACCATTAACATAATTTAAAATGTGAATATCTGAGTAAATTTTATGTCATAAGGAAATGGAATTAAATAGGTTTTATGTTATAAGAAGCAAATAATAACAATAAAAAATATTTATCAAAATTCAAATAAGTTATTCAAAGGGATGTAGATTTTAGAACCAATGTCACCAAGCTTCACAATTGTTCAATATGCGCACCACTTGTGGCATGGCGACGGCAAGATAGTCCAGCTCCTACCAAACACGCTGTAGCATGTCTTGCCTAACATTCTCCAGCGCCTCAAAGATTCTCTACTTAAGTTCCTCTGGGTGTATTCGTAATTGAAAGGAAAGCAAGAAGCTGAAAGTGAAGAAGAAGAAGAAACTATAAGAATAGACCTTACGGTTACAATTGTGAATTCAGCAGTAAAATAAGAAGTAGCTGCCAATTTAGTATTACGTTTAAATTCATGAAGACGAGTTTACCAAGTAGGAAAGCTCATCAAAACAATTACAATGAAAATATTTCAAGAAAAGGCACAGGGAAGCTACGTCATGGCTGTGGGAAACTGAATGGAGCCGAGATTCCAGGTCAGGACCAATAACTTTGCAGATTCTTCTTTGGATGTTGTCAGGAATCTCTAGATACATAGCAGAAGCGTAGCAGAAGCAACAGTGCAGATGTGACAATAATATTCAATGCACGACTGAATGGGAGACTTATAAAGATGCAAGACAGATTCGAGTGAAAAAATGTCGAGAGTAACTATTTTCACCGCACAGTGATATTACAAACGATGTTAGGATCACCATACGGACATAGGTTAAGTGTTCTGAGTGTGTTGGAGGAGATTTGGTGGAAAGATATCAAGAATTTTGTTTATCACTAGGGCTTCCTAGAAGTCATGGTGGAGTAATGGATTGAGAAATCAGAGAGCCGAGTTCGAATCCCAGTCGAATCCATTACATTTACTTACGTACCATTGGGAAAGGTATGGATCCTCTTCTTCCTCTTCCCCCAGCTATGGGTAAAATATCAGGACATACCGGGTTCTATAGCCTTGGATGGCAACTGGTCTACCGGAGAAAGAAATGGCAACCTACTGCGGGATAAAATCTGCCGCGTCGTGTATCATACATGGTACATAACTGACATCACTGGGAGTAGTTAGAGGTGAGCGGGTAATGATGGGATAGACAGGGGGAATAATGTTTAGAGCTTTGTTTATCACTCAAACAACCAGTAAAGTAGTTATAGAATTACTGCGGGCATGTTTTGTAAACAGTCCCCACTCCAGTCCTCTTGTCATCTTTGTGAAATAAAACTCCAGACCATCCATCTCCTACCAGCCAAGACAAAATGGAGGAAGAACACTTACATAAAAGTTTACTGTCCGGTGATAATGCACATAGCCTTTTTATAAAACCCCTTTAATTTTAATATGAAATAAATGTATCTTTATGAAATAGCTTTTAATTTCCTATTGCGGTAATTGATAAGTAACCATTAATTGTTTTAGATTCTTGGTGAACATAAACAAATATTATCACCGAATGTGGATGATAAACACACTTTTCATTTCACTGTACGGTAACTATAATGGGACCAGTCATATCACTGTACGGTGCAGCCTGTTCTATTCAGCAAAATTTTTATGATAGAAAATGTCTGCTGTCTCACAAGATGCCTGCCGCTTCAGTCAGTTATGTGCCATGAGTGATATACGCTTAGACGATCATGTATCTTTCGATACATGACGAGGCAGATTTTTTCCCGCATTAGGTTGTCATTTCTTTCTGCGGTAGACCAGCTGCCATCCAAGGCCGGTCTGTAGTGCTATTTACCCTTAGCAGGAGGGAGAAGAAGAGGATTCATACCTTTCCCAAGGGTATTAGCATGTTAGTGAATGTAATGGACTCGACTGGAATTCGAACTCGGCTTTCCGATTCTTCAATCCGAGCCGCTATCTATTAAACCACTCTTAACTTTTCTTTTTGTAATTATTTCATTCCAAACAAGGAAATAAGCCAACAAGACACAAAGGATTACTGAGTGCGAACGATTAAGACAGCAGATAACAATTGACATTGTATTTAAATTTTTGAAGATGAAAGTTGTCTGGGAAGCAAGAAGCCGGACGAGAGTTCCACAAGCGAAAAGTGCAAGAGAAGAAACCGTTAGCATGGAACTTCTAGTCATTTCAGCTATAAATTGTTTTAGATTTTCGGTGATAATAAAGGCACTTTTTTTTTACTGTGCTGTGAGTATAATTAGATCAGTAATATCATTATACGGTGATAAAACACACAACTGTAAATGTTAAGAAACTTCTTGGCAGCAGACTTAGAAGAATGCGCTTACCGTTCTGTTTTCGAATTTTCTTCTTTCTCAATAATTTTTCTCCTTCCTTTTTATTCTTGCTTGCTATTTTTTTTTCCTTTTTTCTCCAATATTCTTTGATCCATTCATTTCTACTTTCTTATTTTCTTTGATTTCTTCAATACATCTTTCTTTATTTCCTTACTTGCCTTTCTTTCTTATCTTCTTCTTCTTCTTCTTCTTCTTCTTCTTCTTCTTCTTTATCTCGACTTTTTTTCTCTTCCTCTTACTCTGCTTTTCTCCTTTTTAGTTTTATCCTTTCCCTCCTCTTTTTCGTTCTTCCCTTTCTCTTCCATTCTCTTTTTAAATCTCAACTTCCCTTCTCTTCTTCTGTTTCTTTTCTCACTTCCTCTTTCTTTCCATTTTCTAAATCTCTCTATTTCTTTCTCTTCTTCGCTTATCTTCTCTTTTATTCCATTTTTGCTTCTCTTCCATATTTTCGTTTTTCTCTTTCTCATTATTAATTTCTCTTTTTTTATTCAATCTAAGATTAAAAAAAAAAGAGAGAAAAAGATCAAGTAACAGCGAGATAATAATAATAATAAAGTTTGAATAAAAAAATAATATAAAGAAAGGTTAGTTTCGTACATGTGAGCAACGAGGAAGTTTTAAATATAAAAATTTTAGGATGTTCGAATCTGAAATAGGCTTGAAATTTCGAAGACACTTAATGACGAAAGTGGACTTAGAGAATTCGACACTCACATAAAATACTGAAGGCAAATGGGGCAGAGGGAAACAGGAAGTAACCAAACTAACAATTAAATGATTGACAGATCAGGGACTTGGCGCGATAGTAAGGGAAGAAATATTAGAGCGACAAAAGATTGGAATTAGTGAAAAGCCATGATCGTTGACGTCATGAAGACACACAACACATAATGAAAAAGAAGCAGAAGATAGAGAAGGAGAAGAAGAAGTAGTACATGGAGAAGAAAATTCAGAAGAAGATTCAGAAAATGATGATGATGATGATGAAGAAGAAAATTCAGAACAAGAAAATAATGAAGAAGATGGAGAAGAAGAAGAAGAAGAAGATGATGATGAAGAAGAAGAAAAAGAAGAAGTAGATGGAGAAGAAGAAGAAGAAGAAGAAGAAGAAGAAGAAGAAGAAGATGCAGAAGAAGAAGAAAATGGAGAAGAAGATGAAGAAGGAGATGGAGAAGAAGATGATGATGATGAAAATGGAGAAGACGAAGAAGATGATGATAATGATGATAATGATGATGATGAGGATGATGATGAAGAAGGTGAAGAAGATGGAGAAGAAGTAAAAGATGGAGAAGAAAAAGAAGATGAAGATGAAGAAGAAAAAAGAAGAAGAAAAAGATGATAATGATGATGAAAAAGAAGTTTCGTACCCTAAATATCGGAATGTAACGAGAAATGGTTTCGCCAAGCTGACTTCTAATTCCACCTAAGCATGTTGCGTTTTTTTTTTTAGCAAGGATACCCTTGGAAAAGACATGAATTGATTTTTTCCCCATGTAGAACAGACTGCAGTTGGATAACGAAACAATAAAAGAAGAAATAAAGAAAATGAAAGCTAATAAAAGCAACTCGAAGAAGATAAAAATGGAAGTTATATTAAGTCAACGAAATAAAATTTGACGTAAAACGAAAAAAAATAAGATAGAAAAGAAAGAGCGATTGTTAATTAGTTTTCATTCAAGTGGAAGGAATAGGTTGATAAGCCGCAAATAAACAGACAAATCAAGTGGGAGAAGGTTTTCCTTTTTTCTTTGACTTGTCATTTTCTTAGCATTTTCCATCGTTTCTAGATTGATTCAATTTACCAGCGATTTATTAAAAAGGCAATCCATCTTGAAACGTACGTGAACATTTTCCAATGAGACCTGTGTGGACGCAGACCATTCGATTCACTTCCGGTAGGGAGTCTTCTTGACAAAACTCAGAAAGATCCTCATGAGAAGAAGAAAAGTAGTAGTAGCAGTAGTAGCAGCAGCAGCAGCAGCAATAATAATAATAATAATAATAATAAATCCCAACAATGTGGCACATGGGAACATCAACAATTCTTGTTGTAGTTGGAGCCCTCGGATTGGTTGCAAAAGATTCCAATAGACTCATTGAAGGAATTCCCGGAAGCCCAAGCCTTAAAGAAATACAAAAAATTGTTCCATAAGTACATAATTGTTCCACACTTTATGAAGGGATTTATCTATGTAAAATATGTGTCTTTTTTTGTTGTTGTAGTTTTTTTTTAATTGGTCAGTGGAAAATGTCATGATGTCATTTCTAACCTTACGTCTCTGGACAGGACCCGGAAAGAAATGCATACACACAAGAGATCAAAGGAAATAAAATATTGTTATTATTATTATTATTATTATTAATAATAATAATAATAATAATAATAATAATAATAATAATAATAATTTTTAAACTCTATATACTAAAATCTGATATTCACCCTTGGAGTGGTCACTCCGACTTTTACTAAGTTAAAACTTATTGTATGGTATTCAGTGTGTTAGACTATACTATTATGAACTATTCTACCTTCGATATATTAATAAATCCACAATCTCATTGGTTGGGCGTGCTCTTGGATCTTCTTCGAGACTCGTCCTAAAGCTGGTAACCTGAACATAATTACCCATTGTCGGTCAAGGTTAAAACGCATCTCTACCAATTTCAATGAATACGAATAATATTTCATACCAGATCGGCCGTCACCCGGGACAACAAGGGCCGCGTCCTCAGAGAGGAACCAGTCTGAGGACGAAAAATCTGTCACTGGAACAAACTCTTCCATTACGAAGAGACACTAGGTCACCAAACCCGGATTATTGCCAACCTTGGACCAAGTGACTCAATACCAAATCGACTAATAAAAAGTAAATGAACGAAATGGAGCCGCGAAGAGTATCGACAAGTCATGATATCCTTCTTCACTGCACTCGAAAACCCAGCAAAGAACACCGCCAATCAAACATACCAAATATGGAGAAGTATGGTGGAAAATGATATAAGACCTAACCTCAATCCTAACATGCTTGCCAATGTCCGTAGGGACATCATGCGAAACAACAGACTCTCAAAGGCAGAAATAGATAAGATAAAATTAGATATAAGACAAAATACTTTGACCCATCACTCAAACTCTAATGAGACGAATGTAGAAATAAGGAATGCGACAGAGGATGAGGTGGAGGCTGAAGCGAATGAAATACGAAATAATCTCCCAGGAAATGAAACCCAAGACTCTACCTTAAACACAACCTACAGTTCTCCAGAAAATGCACCTAGAGTCATCTTCAGTGACAAGTTAGAATTCCTTGAAAACCACGCAGCTGAAATCACCGAAGCGAAAAATGACGTCATCCAAGTACTCAGCAGAGTAACTTTCATCCAATTATCAGAAAGAGACCAGCTCCCCAAAATCCATATGACGAATTCCAACAAGCGCATCGGGAAAATATACAACGTTGCCCTGGAAACACTGTTAACAGATAAACCACCGGGAAACATCACAGAAGTTAACAACGTCATATATGCAACAGCTTTAGCAGCGACTCGGAAGCTTGGGGTCAAGACAATAAATAAAATTAACAGACACAGAGAACCAGCTTGGAAAACCAAACTGATACGAGAAATAAAACAAATCAGATGTGAGGTTTCTATATTAGATGAGTTCACCAGAAACCCTAATATTTCCACACGTAAGTGCAAAAAGATCAAGCGGAAATATAACATTAAATCCCTAATTGACATTCCATCAATCAAGGAAATTCTGAAGCAGAAACTTCAGCTAAAGGCACAGAGAACAAGACGATACGAAAAACGTTGTAGGTTCTATCGCCAAAATAAAATATTCCGAACTGATGTTAAGAAATTTTACGCAAAAAAACACCTATACATGTCGAAAGGCCACCGTCGATTGATAATGTACAGACATTTTGGGAAAATATTTGGAGCAGCCCAAAGGAATATAACCCAAATGTAGAATGGATCCGGCGTGAAGAAGAACGAATGTTGGATACACTTCTGCAAGAATGGGAAAATATATCCACAGATGATGTTAGGCAAGCTCTAACGAAATACCAAAAATGGAAATCCCCAGGAAATGACAAGTTGCCCAATTTCTGGCTTTATCATCTCTCATCTACCCATGAAATTCTTGCAAAAACATTATCAACGCTTGTAAATAATCCCAATAAAATCCCGGAATGGATTGCTGAAGGTATTACATACCTCATACCAAAAACAACTGAAACAGATGACCCGAAAAATTATAGACCGATAACATGTCTCTCCACAACGTATAAGTTGATCACGTCTGTACTGACGAACCGTACTTATTCCTTTCTCGAAACAAACAGCATTCTCCTGCTGGAACAGAAGGGATGCAGAAGAGGTTCATATGGCTGCAAAGATCAACTGCTGATGAATAAAATGATCCTGGAAAATTGCAGGAGACTACGTAGAAATCTTAGTGCAGCGTGGATTGATTATCGTAAAGCCTTTGATAGTGCTCCACATTCTTGGATCCTTTAGACTTTGGAAATGTACAAAGTCTCCCCTGTGGTATTAAATTTCCTTAAGCACAGCATGGGAATGTGGAACACCAAACTATACCTTAGTCACACCGGGGGCACTGCCATATCCAACCGTCTGAATATCCGACATGGAATCTTTCAATGAGACTCTCTGTCACCCCTTCTGTTTTGTTTATCCTTAATCCCTCTTACACATGAACTGAACAACAGTAGCTATGGTTACAAAATAAATAAGAAAATATTCAATCACATACTCTACATGGATGATCTTTGCCAAAGACGACAATGAGTTGAAAGGCCTCCTCAATATTGTAAAATACTTCAGTGACGACATAGGTATGGACTTCGGATTAGATAAATGTGCAAAAGTAACATTCAAGAAAGGTAGAATTACAGAAACACCCTTAATAGATTTAGATTTTGTCACAAAGATTAGGGAACTGGAGCATGGTGAAGCTTATAAGTACCTAGGAATTAGCGAAGGAGATGGCATACAACATCCCCAAATGAAGGAAAAATAAGAAAAAGAGTACTACAGGCGTGTACGTCTGGTACTAAATACTTAGCTAAACTCAAAAAACAGAATATCAGCCATAAACACATTGGCTGTCCCTGTGGTGCAATACAGCTTTAATGTCCTTAACTGGACCATAGCTGAAATTAAGCGAATGGACGCCAAAATGAGAAAGCTTCTCACTTGCTATCGCATGCATCATCCCGAAGCTGATGTTGATCGTCTGTATGTGCTCAGATCCGAAGGAGGCAGAGGATTAGTTCAACTAGAACTGTTCTACAAAACTACAACAATTGGCCTCCAAAGATACTTGCAAACTACAGAAGACTGGATAATGGTATGCGTCAAGGAACATGAAAGTAGTAAGCGTCTTTACTCCGTAATAAAAGAAGCCAACAAATTCAAAATAGAGTTTCAAATGGGCGTAAAGATGCAACTACAGCACAATACACCGGCTGAAACTGCAAAATACTTAAAAAAGACAG